TATATATATATATATATATGGTGGGTATCAAACATTTTGTGGGAAATGGAATCGGAAGATAATGGCATTTTTCCATAAACTTTTTGAAGGCCGATTATGTGTGTGTAGGTGTGTGCATTTATATGTATACAAAACTGGAAAAGTGCCTGTCTGGTTTTTTTTCTTCTTCTTATAGTTCTGTGGCCCCTTATTGACCTTGGTGGATCTCGTTGACCTATGTGTAGATATTTCAAAAGGTTGTGTCTATCTGGAGCAGATGCACTTCATCCACAGGTATGGTGGCATTCTGGATACAAGGTTATCAGGGTTATTGACACAATAATCACCCGTAGTTTGGGTCAAGTACATAAAGAACACATAATGATAAGAGAACATTTCAATCCTTTAAAAGAGTAATCATGTCTGAAAAGGGCTCTTCTCAACAGACATACTAACGTTGCTCCTCTGCTCTCTGGAACACTATTAGTACTATTATTACATATCAGTTCTGCCATAGGGATTTGGCAGCTCGGAATTGCCTGGTCTCAGTGAAAGACTATACCAGTCCATCACGGGTCGTGAAGATTGGGGACTTTGGACTCGCCAGGGACATCTATAAAAATGACTACTACAGAAAGAGAGGAGAAGGCTTGCTGCCTGTGCGGTGGATGGCTCCAGAAAGTCTGATGGATGGAATCTTCACCACCCAATCTGATGTCTGGTGAGCTTCACAGACCCAGAGAAATGCGGGCCAGTCATAAAAATCACAACAGGTCATCTAACCCATCCTCTGACCCGAGAAAACAGGAGGACCAGAGCGGTTAGGGATTTACCACACGTTATAGTAAAAGCTAGTGGCCAAGATGGGGTTCTGACTGGGAAAGCAGCAGTTTACATCACCTCCCATTAGTTTTGAACCTGTACATTCCTAATGTATATGCAATCAATACATTTGACTCTAAGTATTTTATTACTCCCCCCCCCAAGGTGTAAAAGCATATGACTAGTAGAAGAGATTGATACTTACGAACTAATGTCCAAGTGTGGGTCCAAATGCCTATGATTTGTGAATGTTTGGTCATTCATTTGGAGGTAAACTTGAAATCATGGATCTCAAAAAGATTAGGATACTGGGGAGGCTTGGATATCTCTTTATTTTCTCACTAGTACCTTCAGTTTTGCTTCTTGACTCTAAACTTTTAATTCTAATTGTTCAAAATGTAGGGATGATGTGTTCAGTAGTTGTTAAGGTAGACTGGTTCTAGGTAAATTGGGGATGAGGTACCATTAGTTCTCAGTTCTATCAGTTTTATTCATGTCTTCCTTCTCCAAAATAATTAGTGCTCTATCCTCTGCAGACTTAGAAGAAGAAGGAAACAAAGGTAAAATGCTCTCAGCCTCATCCTTCGCTTAGTATGCCTGCAGACTAATGGAGGGCTGCCACTATAGCTTCAGCTTAGGGACAGGAGCAGAGGTGTGTGCATGCATATCTCTGTGTGTGAGTGTACAGACACCCCAGTATACCTCTCTGTTATCTCTGAAGATGCACCAAGTAGGCAGATGCTTGTTTTAATTTTCTTGCATTAACCAGCTTTTAAGTCTCCTATTTGCCTCTCATGAATACTAGTGCCAGTTAGCGAATGGAAGGGTATGCCCCCAGAAATAGTGATGTTGGTGAAACAACTGTAAGCCTGATTTTTGTAACAAGTGCAATTAAAACTAATTTTTAACATCCCTAGGTCTTTTGGAATCTTGATTTGGGAAATTTTAACGCTTGGCCATCAGCCTTATCCGGCTTATTCCAACCTTGATGTTTTAAACTATGTGCAAACAGGGGGGAGACTGGAGCCACCAAGAAATTGTCCTGATGACCTGTAAGTTGATTATGTTAGCATATGTGCATTGTCCAGCATTGAATTGCACCCCTCAAAATAAAGGTCAACTTGGCCAGGCTATGATTCCTAGGATTGCGTGTTCATCCTCCATGTGGTGATCCGATGTAATTGTTTGGTCTATGGTAAAGCCTGCTTGCAATGTGATTAGTGAGGCGGGGTTTTGTTATGTTAATAATCAAGCCTGAGCGATGAGAGGCTGCATCAAGTCATAACCCTGATCTCAAGTAAGGAGAGTTTTCCTGGGGTGTGGAATGCATCATTATTTGCCTTACAAGAACTGAAAGGACAGAAGAGAGTAGACAAGGAGGGACCTGATTCACCAAGAATGCATAGCTGGGAGCCGAACGTGTCCTTCAAATCTTAGGTCTCTGTGCTGAGAACCTAACAGACTTAGGGAAAGATTAATGCCAAGACACCTGTAGAGCTCCAAGGAATTCCAGTCCATAGAAAGGAGGCAAGGCCCATCCCTCCAGAGGCAATAGAAAGAGGAAGAATTCCCCTAGAACAGGTGTCCTGAATTTGGACTTCTTTTAAGAATAGAAGGAGCCTTGGTGTCATTGTAGTTTTGAATTCAGCTGCGAACTGCAAGGTCATCAGTTTGATACTACTAACTGTTCCATGGGAGAAAGATGGGCTTTCTATTCCCATAAAGACTTACAGTCTCAGAAACTCAGAGGGGCAGCTTTACCCTGTCCTTTAGGGTCGACATGAGTTGGCATTGACTGGGTGGGAGTGGGAGGGCAGGATTCGTCTAAATTGATTCTAAAGAATAAATTTTTGTGTGTTAAAGTCATCCATTTATGGTATTTCTGTTATAGCTAGATAACTGAGACAAACCCCCAAACAAAAACATGTGCTTATATCTCATTTGTATGGTATTTTAAAGCATAAACTGGAATTTATATATATTTATATCTTACATAAAACATAAGTTATGGCATGATAATTTCTTTATATCTATTTACCTACTTTTTATTTATCAACGATCTCATTATCTGACATTATCTTTACATTTGCTAGAATAGTCAAAGTCTGTTAACTATTTTGCTATTGATGTAGTACATATAGGAGATATAATGTAGTACATATAGGAGATATAAGTGTACATATAGGAGAGGTCATGTGTTAAAATCATGTGTCACTTTGCTGGGCCATGATCTTGGTGATTGATCAGTTATATAATGATGAAATTTGGCAGATGTGTAATGGTGATATCCTTCATTTTTCATAGTGTACTCTATTTTTGCATTAACAGAATTTGTAACATAAACCTGGTTTTAGCAACTAACCATGTCAATAAGTGAGGAGTGAGTATATATAGACATGGTATTTTACTCAGCTACAACATTGAAAAGAATCAAACAAACAAACAAAATAGAATCAAACATATTCATACTCCTGGTTAAGCTAATGCTAATAAATGAAAACTGTGTGTATGTATGCACATGAGTGTGTGTATGCATTTTATTTTGAGATATTTTACTTGACTACTATCTTTACATATTAAACTATTTTATTAATTAGGAATCTGTTGTTTAAAAGATGAATTGCATTTGCTGTTATAGCGCATGTTATTTGATGAGATATAGTACCACTAAAATTTGTTTTGTTTATTACGTATTTATGAACTGAACATTAAGAAACTTAGAAGTAGTGACTCTTTCAAATTGATCTGGCCATTCTGAGTCCTAACAGATGTGTGATCCTCAGAAGAGTGGGTGCGTTGGTCTAATTATAAACTTTTTTATTATGCTGAGTATTAATCTAACTTCTGTGAGCAATCTCATCAGAATTATCAAGTCTTGGAACTTTTTTCAAGAGATTCATAGCAAGATCATTACAAAATAAATAAAATTATTAAAAAGCATAAGTTCCCACTATATGATATGCCTGAGAGCATGTTAAGGAGCTTATGGAGTACACAGATGTTGGAGCCACGGTCACAGCTCATCTGCATTTCAGAGTGTATCTTAAAGAAAAGAAACATGTGGAACCATTGAAGAAGAAGCCAATATGTAATAAAGTGCTAAACTGTGTGGTACAGGCAAATGCAAAAGGAATTAGCAGTATGCGGATGTACACCCTGGCGGCACTGCCTTGACTGTGCAGTGTTATTGAGAGGATTAGTCAGGCTTGAGCCAAAGATGACTAAGAACTGGGCACCTTTGCGGGGTGTGCTACTGGGTAATGGCTTTAGATTATGCAAATCTTCCAGCTAGAAGGAGCTCTGAATCGCTCCTTGTTTCTGATTTAGCTTTTATAGTCCCTAGAGTATTTACAAGCAGATCAGATGTACACAGACAAACAAGTGTGATGACAGTGTCTAAAAAATGATTCATGATATTTTGGGGGAGATAGAAAAAATATATGGAATAAAAATTTCTTCAAAATTGGAAAACCCTTAATCTAGAGTTTGGAGAGAAAAAAAACCCCCAAACCCTAGCATAGTTAAACAATGAAATACATTTTTAAAATAAAACCCTAAAAATAGTTAGGGTTCTAGTCACTATTTTGGTCTCTGTTACCAAGTTGTTAACTGCTCAAATTTCTCCAGAATTTTAATTCCCTAAAATAGGTATCATGCTATTAGAATTTCATCGGGCATAGATTTCTCCTATGTGAGATAATGTAGCCCATCAAATTTATGCAAGTTGGGGAAGTAGGCACCAAGCCTGTTGTTGCATTATACGTTTTGACTGATGGGGAGCATGCCTGAGTCCATTCGTTGTATTTGGGGCCATGGGATGGAGGTAACGAGTATATTGCTGCATCATGGCCGAGAAAAATGCATGTTTAACTTTGTCCTAATCAAAGGTACCAAAATTGCCTCTCAGTCTGCGAGGAAAGAGATAGAAAGAGATCACTGACAATAGCGCCAAAAGACAATAGTCTGTATAATTTAATCTTGAGTGATTCATAACTCACACTCGTTTTTAGAAAAATCCAGTTTTTTGTGAAAATAAGATTTTCTATTGATGGTTTGAAAGTTTATTGAACTACTTTCATAAAAAGGGAAGCATTTCTCTGCAGAGCCCCTGGAAGGGTTAATATTGCATTGTCAACCCAGAAAACGAGCTGTGTCCGGAAAAGGTGCTCTACGGGCTGCCATGCAATCTGGCCAGGGCCTTAAATTGTCATCATGAACCTTAACTACTCTCCTTAGAGAAGAGAGAGAGCTGAGTCTTATTTGAAGTAGTTCTCGGAGATCACAGGCTCAGCTTAGAGGATTGAGGGTCTGTACTGAGCCAAGCTGTACCTTTTATTCACACCTTAGAGGCCTAGCACCTGGATGCACTCTGGGTCAGGTGCTTCCATAGGTGGCTGTGCTGTGCTCAGCTATTAATGGAATGCAGCTCTCAGCACATTCCTGCCCTTCTCCCATTGCCTGGGATGTAGGGTAGAAAGTCTCGCCATCAGTACTCTCTTCAGCCTTTCAGTTTGTACCACCACCCACGACCAAGATGAAATAGAATCAAAGAGCAATGAGTGAGAAGTTTGGGGGTTCCCTGGCATATCACAGTGACTACTGGAATTGCTGAAAAGGCAACAGTGGAAGCGAATGTGTGTTCATCATCTTATATTTAACATTTAAAAACACCCAGGGTGTTTTTAATGCTAATTAGGGGGCCCTGAAAGTATAGTGGGCTACTGGGCTGCTAATCGGAAGATCACCAGCCACTCCAAGGGAGAAAGATGGGGCTCCCTACTCCCACAAAGACTGACAGTCTTGGAAACTCACCGAGGCAGTTCTACCCTGTTGTGCAGGATTGCTCTGAATTGGAATCGAGTTCGGTTTGGAGTTTGTGATTGAATAAAATGAGTAAGAGACTCTTTGAAATCTGCATTGTATGTGTTTTGCTTAAAGACATAAAGAAACGTAGCCCTTAAAATGGAAAGATCTTAGGAAGTTTTCATCTATTAAACTTTGTTTATGGACTCGATGGCTTTCATATTCAGAAGGCTAATACCAGCCATGGCTCGTGAATCTTGTGCTATTGTGGATTGTGTAAAGGTTTGCAGAGCAGACCAGCTTTCCATTCAATAATGCATATACACTTTGCTTCATCTCATTGATTGCAATCCCCACAATGTGACGTCATTTCTCGCACTTCTCTGTATCACCTGTTTCCATTCCCCCTCCTTTCCTAACCTTTCTGAACTTTGTCCTTGGGTACATGCTGCCTCTTTTACCTCAAATCATTGATAATTCTAAGCTTTGCATACTTCATTACTGTTACTGGTTTCTTTATGGACCTGTTAGTTATTTGGCTGAAAATTGAGCCATGGGGATGAGTTCATTTCCAGGTCTGAAAGGGAACCAAGAGCCATAGTCTCAGGGGATCTGCATGAGGTGTCAATGGTATCAGGTATCAGTCATCTAAGACCCAGAATAAAATCATACTGAATGTGAAGGGGGGAGGGCATGGAGTGGAGACCCAATGCCCGTCTGTAGACAATTGGACATCCCCTCACAGAGGGGTCAAAGGGAAGAGATGAGCTAGTCAGAGTGCAATATAGCACCGATGAAATATACAACTTTCCTTTAGTCCTTTGGTATATCCTTCCCCCCACTATCATGATCTCAATTCTATCTTACAAATCGGATTAGACCAGAGCATGCACACTGCTACAGATAAGAGCCCGCAACACAGGGAATCCAGGACAGATAAACCCCTCAGGGCCAACAATGAGAGTAGAGATACCAGGAGGGTTAGGGGAGGGTGGGAGGAGGGTGGGGACATCGATCACAAGGATCAATTATAACCCCCTCCCAGGGGAAAGAATAATGGAAAAGTGGGTGAGAGGTGATGGAGGACAATGTGAGATATGAAAATAATAATCTATAACTTATCAAGGGTTCATGTGGGAGCATGGGGGAGTGGGAGTGGGAAGAAATGGGGAGCTGATATCAGGGGCTCAAGTGGGAGAGAATGCTTTAGAAATGATGATGGCGGCTTATGTGCAGATCCCCTTCTTAAAAATCTTTATCAACTTCCTATTTTGTTCTCATAAGACTCGACTGCTAGCCTGGTCTATGAGGCCATCGTGACCTTGCCTTTCCGTCTGGTCTCATCTCTCTGTCAGTGGCTGCTCTTCAGTGACACTGGCTTTCTTTCAAATTCTGCAGTGTGTCAAGCTCTTTCCAAATGTAGCGCTGTCTATGTGCTTTTCCCTTCTATTATATACCCTCTCATATTTACTCTATTCCCATGACTTGCATATTATTTTCCTACGAAATTCTACAGCTTCCTATAACCTCTGCGGAGTGGCATTCTGTGAGCAACTTACCTAATTTCTAACGGTTCACTTTTGGAACTTGTCATCACTTGTAATTATGTATTTATATGTTAGTGTAGTGGTGCTAATATGTTAAAATAGAGTCTATTTTATGTTTATTTATCAGTTTCTCTCTCACTGTCTCTGACTTGCCTTGTAATTTGCCTCCAGAACAGGAAAAAAAGATATCAGGTACTTGGTCTTTTTAGTAAGTCAACAGACTTGAAAATTGGGCATGGCGGAGAGAGAGGGTTGTTTGGAACCACTTGGCTTCTTGTTAGTATATCACACACCAGATTTGGTTGACAAGATATAAGCCTAGGGACCCTGGTGGTGTAGTGGGCTTACATTGGGCTGCTAACTGCAAGGTCAGCAGTTTGAATGCACCAACCAATCCATGGGACAAAGACTAGGCTTTCTACTCCTTTAAAGAGTTACAGTCTCAGACACAAACCCACAGGGGTCATTCTACCTTGTCCTGTAGTGTCACTCTGAGTCAGAATCCACTCAATGGCAGTGAGTTTGAGTGTTGAGTCTAATTTAAAAGAGAAATTAGTATGAAACCCCATTCTTCTGGAGAGAACTGACTGATGGAGATCAGACACTGATGCTACTGAACAGCTAGGTCCTGAAGGTTCCTTTTCAGGCTTCAATTAGATTAGATTTGGAATACTCCAAAGGCATAGAGTGTGTCCCAGTTTGAGAGAATGGCAAGGAGATCCTCCACTCTGAAATGGAAGACCTGGCATCATTAAGAAGGTAGAATATCATGCCCCAACAGAGCCCAACTTGAAATCATCCTTGTTTTCCATACGATGTGCCCATTTTACATAGAGCTAATGATCCCACCTGTGGCCACGAAACAAAAACAGGATAGATTCCTAGGGCCTTATCATTCCTTGGGCTACAGGACATAGCAGAGTCTCTGAGTAACCTCCGATTAGAGAGAGACAAGGAAGACCCAGTTCAATGGGTAGAGGCAAAAAGAATAGATAGCTCTTGGTCTACAGATACTAGCAGCTCATGTCTGCAGGATGGACCAAACCAAGCATTCTACTGAGTTTCAGATCAGCCACTCTGAGAGTAGTGGAGGGCTGACAGGTACAGTGGGGTCCTTCACCATGTCCCAGTGAGTCACATAAATGTCTCACCCAGCACACATCTTCACGCCTTCTTGAAGAGGTGGGTGAAGGTTTGTGGCTGGACTGGAAATAAGAGAAACTCATTGATTAACCACTAAGATTAAGGATTACCTAAAAAGACTTTTAAAATATTGGCTTGGACTAAATTATAAACTGCATTGGATTTAATAAAGTAATCTGCTGAGTGGGAGCTCTGAAAAAGACCCGGTTAGTTATTTGAAAACAACAATAAAGCACTGCCATTGGGGTGGTTCTGATTCATAGCCACACTGTATAGTTTCTGAGCCTGTGAACATCTTTACGAGTAACAGAGAACCTCATCTTTGTACCTCACAGTGACTGATGGAGTCGAACCCTGATTGTGGTTAGCACCATAATGCTTACCCACCAGCTTATAATTAGTTATAAACAACATTAAAAAGTTACACTTTTTTCTGCTCTTATGAGTACCAGTATAGCAAATGCAGTGACTCTTACATTTGATTACTTGTTTGCTATCTATATCCTCCTTTACCAGGGTAGGTGTCTTTCTTGATGTTGGCCTACTGTCTAGTATATAATGTGTCCAACAAATCTTCAGTGAATAAATGAGCAAATAAACCCTGGTTAAGGGTGTGCTTAAACAGACAGTGTGATGAAGAGAAAAAAGCACTAGGCTCTAGCCTAGTTTTGATTCCTGGTTTTGTTCTAAATGTGTGTGGCCTGGTGTAAGTTATTAGATTTCCCATAGAGATCAATGTATGCAAATTTGCAGTACTTTTTAATCCAATACTTTTTATAATTGTTAATTTCTTATGTGTTGAATAGACATTTTTCGATGATTTATTCACTTATTCCTTTGGATTAATAATCACTATTGAAATAATATCAGCTTTTCAAAGGAAAGACATTATTTAAATAAAGTTAATCAAACTGCCAACCACTATTGAGGAAGAAACCAAAGTTTTGTTCTGGTTCATCTAGCATGATTGGAGAAAAGTGGCAATATTTCATATTCTTCTACTTTTAAAATGACTCTACCTGAGTTATTATCAGTTAACTAATAAAATCAAATAATTATTTGTTTTCCTGTATTTACCTACCTTTCCAGGTGGAATTTAATGATCCAATGCTGGGCTCAAGAACCTGACCAAAGACCTACTTTTAATAAAATTCAAGACCAGCTTCAGTTATTTAGGAATTTCTCCTTAAAAAATATTTCCCAATGCCGTGAACAAGCAAGCACCAGGGGAGTCATAAACGAAGGCTTTGAACGTAAGTTTGATTCTGCTTCAGAATTTTCTGCTTTTCTTTCAGGGTTAATACGGAATGTTCACGAAAGGCATTTTAGGAGTTAAAACATTCATGCATTGTTATTATTATTAATTGTTATCATAAGTGTATTTACATAGTTCCTTGAAAATAATTCTGTACTTAGCACAAAAATATATAAAAGGTAGGGATATGGTCGTTGGATTTATAATAGACGAATACCAGGAGGAGAATTTACATGCTGTTTTCATGAATTCTGTTCTCTTCCCACTCAATCCCCTCTGCCAGTTTGAAGGTCACATGTGGAGCTGAGCGAATGGTGTGCTCTTCGTGAATGGTGCATTATCATCATCAGTCTATGCAAACCTTCCTTCTTACTTTGTTTAGCTCCTTTATCCACATCTCTCTCCCCTGACTTCCTTCCTCCCCCTCTCCTGCAGGGAATAATTCCCGTGTCTTCAATATGTATCTTTTTATTTGTATGTTTTCCCACATAATTTGGATTGTTTTTGTAGGTATGTGTGTGATTGTATTATAGAATACTTTTCTTTCTTTTTCATTAAGCACCCATTTTTAAACCTTCTTTCATGTTGTGATATAATTATGTTATATATAATTCATTACTTCTAACTGTTCAGTAATTCTGATATGATTAGTATAGTGTATCATCTGGTCTGGTTTTAAGACTCTAATATTTGTGGTAATTTATGACTGTAATTTGGAGAAACATTTTATTGCTTTAGTTCAAGGAAGAGTATGAAATGGAATGAAAACAGTGGTCACTTGATTCATTTTCAAATCAGGTTGATCAAATGTTTCCCTAATTGTACACAGAAATGAATTTTAAATGTTCCTTCTAGAACCCTTTCCATTATTCAAACATTGCAGGGTCCTGTTGTTTGCTGTTCAAATGCAGTCCTTTTGTTGGACAGTTAAAATACCGGGCTTGCTTGGAAATGCACCTGCAAAGAAGAATGATGACCAAGTATCATAACCTCAGAATTAGACACCTCTTGTTTTTTGCAGTGATCGATTGTAAGATGGCTCAGTGTAGAGACATTTACCCCGAGTGCTTCATTTAACTAACAGCAGGGAGTGAAAAAGAAGCCCAGAGATGAAGGCTTACTTGTCTTGTTTGCTGTGTTTCTGACTCCACCATTTTGGTGTTTTTGTTTTTTTCAGTGAGATGGAGGATATGTCAAGAAACAATGTGATCCTTACTAACTCTCATTGGCATTATGTCCGTTCTGACTCCCAGTGGCCCGATAAGAAGAGTAGAATTGCTCTGTTGGTTTCTGAGGCTGTAACTCTTTTTTTTTTTTTTAACCCATTTTCTTGGGGCATAATCCAGATATCATACAATTCAGTATCTTGATAGTCATATCAAGAAGTATTATGCAATTTCTACCACAATCAGTTTTGAAACATTTTCTTCCTTCTTGTATTCTGTTACCAGCTCCCGATTACCCTACTGCCGCCATCACCTTCTCACCTGTCACCTCCCAGGAGCCCTTAATCTAGTTATTATCTCTAGAGATTCTTCCACCTGGGTTTCCTATACTGAAAAATATAGAAAGATACATAACAGAGAGTCAAGAAACTACCAACAATAACAAACTACGACAGAGATAAACCCCAGTTTGAACGAAAACAGAAAATATTAAAAACCAGAGCAAAATCAAAATGTGTCAAAAGGGAGATCAAATGATAAGGTTTAAACCATTTGAGTCAGATTTTTCATTTTAATCTATATAATAATCTCTATAATACTCTCTATTTGATAAACAGGCTATTCCCATCCCTTGATTATAGTCAGAGAGAAATCACCGAAGGTTTACTCTATGTGTAGGTCCTGCGAATGAATTTGGGCTTCCACTGTCATCCACACCCTTCTGCGAACCAAACTTTCACAATTTAAGCTCCGTTACCATTTCCTCCTTTGAATCTGGATTACTTATAATCCCTGAGTCATAAAGGCTGATGTGCTTCTCCCATGTAAATTGAGTTGACTTCTCACTTAGGTGCCTGCTTGTTTGGAAACAAGCCTTCAAGACCCCAGATGCTGGTCTTTCTGATAGTCAGGCATCATTTCGTTTCTCCACCACACTCTGCAGCAGAACTCATGTCGTTCATGCTTCTTTCGTGAGGGGAGTATTGAGCAGGGCCATGTTGTAAGAACTAATTGTTCTTAGATTGAAGTTGGGATTAAATGCAAGCCCCAATCCATTCCTATATCTGAGTTTTGATATGCCTCTGGTTCATCTGAGAGGCATTTTGTTATTTTATGTTAGAGAACTTTATGGGTGGTCTTCCTGGAGCATAGGTCTTTCTGTTTATCCTACCATTGATCTAGCCCAGGAGCCTGTGATAATACGTTTAAAACACAACTAAGAAAAGGACAGTAAACAGGTGCAGGCTAACTACAAATCACAGTGCATGATTATTGACTTACACAGATTAAATACTTCAGTGACAGAACACTATTTACACAAACAATGGGATTGGGTAATCAAGACAAACTTACAGTAATATTCAATGACAATGGGAGTAGAAATCCTCATCTTTTTCACTGGGGGGTGGGTTTTTAACTGCTGACCTTGTGGTTAACCACTCAACACATAACCAATTATGCCACCAGGGCTCCTTTTAAGGACAGTTTCTATGATTCTGTGGCAATACTTTTAGATTTACTCTAGTATATGATATTTGCTTTTCATTGAGTGCCATTCTGAAAAATTTCAACTTCATGAGATTGCTTTTATGATGCTCTGACTACAGATCAATACTTTGAGGTTCAGAGAAGTGAAGTTATATGGTCAAAACACATAGATTGTAAAGAAATGAATAGTGGTTCGAATCTGGATTTGTCTCGCTCCAAAGACCAGGTTCCACCCACTGCATCGTGCTGGTTTCCCTATATATAGCCATTGAAGTTCCACACACACCTTAATGTGTCCATACATCCCATGTAATATTTATATGAATGAAACATTAATAGTGAACCCTTCATAGGGATTTCAATTTGGAAACACCCAGCAATAATCTCTACCTTCTCTTTTTATTCTCCTTTTCACATCTGGTAAGTAACCATGTCTGATCCTTGTTTCTACCTATTGTAAGATACCATCGAGCCTGTTCTTACTCAAAGCAACCCTATGTCCCATAGGACAAAACGATTTCATCCTATGCCAACTTGACCATTGTTATGTTTAAGCCCATTGTTTCAGCCACTGGGTCGATCCATCTCTCCTTGAAGGTCTTTCTCTTTTCCCTGCCCCTCTACCTTCCCAAACATGATGTCCTTTTGCAAGGATGAGTCCGTCCTGATAACAAGTCCAAAGTACGTGGGATGAAGTCTCAGTACCCTTGCTCTAGGAGCGTCCTGGCTGTTCATCTTCCAACACAGACTGGCTTGTTCTTCTGGCAGCCCCCGGTGCTTTCCATTGTCCTCTCCAACACCACGGCTCAAATGCAGCTTTTCTTCTCGGGGCCTCCTTATTTGTTTTTCAGCACCTGCCAGCATATGAGGTAATTTAAAGTATGTTGGCATTAGTCAGATGCACTGACGTCTTCAAAGTGACATCGTTATTCAACAATCTAGAAGTTCTTGTGTAGCAGATATATTTCGTGCTTTGAATTCTTCACTGCTGCTTCCATCGCATTCACTTGAATCCAAGTAAAATGAAATCTGCGTGAAAGTCAATATTTCTTCCGTTTCTTGTATGCTGTTCGTTGGTCCAGCTGTGAGGCTGTATCTGTATAGATATAGATGGGGAGAAAGATAGAGGGTTGCAATCTTACTGACAGCTGTGGTCTTTGCTTTTCTTCAGTTAGGGTGTCAGGCCCTCGTCACTCTCAGTCATCTGTATGTTGCTTGCTGTTAAAGAGGCTTCCTCCAATCCTGATGCTATACTCGCCTTCATAGCATCCTCTGTGTCAGATTAGTTTTACAGCATACTAATTGAATTAATATGGCATACTGATTGAATATGTACGATGAAAAGATACAACCCCAATACACACCTTTCCTATTTTAAGCCATGGAATCTTACCTTCTTTAGTTCTAAGGAAGCCTCTTGATCTAAGTGTAGGTTGTTCACGAGGACAATTAAGTGCTCTTGACTTGCCATTTTTTGCAATGCAAACCATAGGTAGTTAGAGTCCACATAGTCAAATACATTTGCATGGTCAATAAGACATAAGTAAACATCTTTCTGGTATTTTTTGCTTTCAGTCAAGATCCATCTGATTTCAACAATGATATCCTTGTTCCCCTCTTCTTTTGAATCCAGCTTGAATTTTGGTCCACTTTCTGTTGATGTTCTACTGTAACCACGTTTAAGTTACTTTTAGCATAATTTTCATAAATGTGGTATTAGTGTTATCTTGATGATTTCCACATTCAGTTGGGTAACCTTTCTTTGGAATGGACACAAATGTGGATCTCTTCCAGTCATTTGACTAGGTATGCCAAACTTCTTGGCATACCCTGGTAAGTGCGTGCTCCCAGTCCTGCATCAGTGTGTTTTCATATATCAATTGTTATTCCATCAATTCTTGGGAACCTTTTGCCAATAACTCAGTGCAGCTGGGACTTCAATATCATCAGTTCTTGATCATACGCTACCTCTTGAAATGGTGGGTTGTCAGCTAATTCTTTTGGGTACACTGACTCTGTGTATTCTTTGTATCTTCTTTTGAGGCACCCTATGTCGCTCAGTTCAATATTTTGCCCTTAGAAACCCTCAATATTGCAACTTGAAGTTTTGCTTTTTCTTCATTTCTTTCAACTTAAGATCATGCTGAGCATGTTCGTCCTCTTGGCCTTTCTGATTTCAGGTCTTTGCCTGTCACTATAATACTTTATCTTCTCAGGCTGCCCTTCACATTTTTTGTTCAGCTCTTTTGCTTTATTATTTCTTCCATTTGCTTTAGCTGCTCCACATTCAAGAGGTTTCAGAGTCTCTTCTGATGTCTTTTCTTTCTTGTCTTTTTAGTCATCT